TTTCTCCACCCGTAGCACTGCGCAGCAGGGCAACTTGAGTCTTAATTCTACATACAATTTGTCGTTATCCTTTTTAACAATTTTCGCAAACAAGCCATGGCTAGGCCAAATGGCTAGGCCAAATGTTGGAAAGTCCACACCAGGGCTACAGTTATCAAAGGCTTGGCCCCGGCATGCTTACAGAACTTAATCAAACTTTTAGAAATGTTTGGCATTAGGCCACACAAAGCGTCATGAAAAAAAAGGTAAGCCAACGAGAAGAAACAAATCTATTTAAAAGAACACTTTCGTAAACACCTTGAATAAAGCTCGATAAACAAAAACTAGATAATAAATCAGAAAACAACCCATGTTAAGCAAAGTTTCGAAACTCACACTAAGTTTGCCGCATTTTTTGTATGTTCTTCCATCATCAGAAACATTGTACAAGTAGATGAAGTTATCGTGAGACCCAACTGCCAGGTACTTGCCATCTAAGAAAGCAATTAAAATTATGCGATGAAAGTATCTACATAAGCCAAAGCCAATGCACACAATTCTTTTGCAATATATAAAACTAAAAAAATTGTGTCGTTGAAAAGTTTCTTGGGACAAATGATTTGACGCAATTTTCTTCAACTAAATTTTAAATAATCACTACGAAATGTTTTTGCACAAAAGAATTTTGAGAATTTGCATATTTTACTATTCTATGGAATGAGAAAATACATTTGTGCAGTCGGTGCCTAATGCACTGAGTATTTTAAAGAATTGCATGGCTCCGCCCCTTACAAAATTGGCAAAAGGCTTCTATCTTTGCACTGTTAAAAATCCAAGTCGAAATTGAATCACGACGAAACTTTGAAAAGTTGGAATTTTTTGACAACGTTTAACCACCGAAAATTTATACCACGAAGTTTTTGAGTTAACGTAAGTTTTTCTTAAAATCATATATAAAAATATGGCGTATTAAGGATGCTGTTTTGTTGCGTATTAAATTATAGGAAATATATAGGAAATGTGAACCAAACTTCAAGTTTATGTTTCGTGATCCAACAATGAGGCCAGACAATGCTGATTAATAGATTGATCGTCATTTCTAACGTTTCTACCAATCACAGGGCCCGAGATATGTCAAGTGACTTTCTGTTACTAATGTGACGTATGATTTGACACAAATCGTCACATTAATTTGGAAACATTGGCAATCAGCTTTACAAATCTTTATTTGTTGACACGAGCGGGTGATTGTATTTTGCTAGTGTACTGTGGAAATTTAGGGCTAAATTTCTGTGAAATTCGAAGTGTTTCTACGATAATTATGATCGTGGTAACATTATTGACGCTTTTCTGCCTGTTTGGGGCAGGACCTGATGGACGTGGACGAGCTGTCTACGCCAAACCGATACCGGTAAGTAATCTTTGTCCGATTAAATTGCGGAATAAGATTAAGGTACAATATACGTCTACTCGACTGCAAGAAATCAATAATTATCAACATCCCTCTGTACTTCACAGCTTGTTAAATCCTTCCTTATGAGAATTATCTAGAAATTGCAACCTTGACTTCAAAATTCAACGTTTGAGTTTTAGTTTTTAACATTTTTTTAGACAACCCTTCCGACCAAAATGACAACGAACTTCAATGATGAAACTCATCTTGAAACGCTCCCAGAGTCACCTTTAGCAGGTATTTCTTGCTTTATTTCAGTAACCTATAGTCTTGAAAATTTAACAGCTACAAGATTAACAATTTATATTTTCCATACATTCAATAGTTTAATTAAAAACTACCTTTTCAGAAAAAAACATTGATCTTTATTTACTCTTTAAATATTCAAAGGTGCTATTACAAAGCTTCTATAATCTATAAAACATACAACTTAAATTTACAACAACACGTTCTCAAGAGAAATCTTTTAACTATGGCCTTTCTACAACAGAGAAAACAGGATCTGAAGAACAAAAGCTGAAAGAAAATAGCAAAGGGCTTCTCTGTTCACCGGACAACGCCGATCCTTCCTGCAGATCAAGTCATGACTCAGATTCGCTAAAACAGATGGCTCAAAATATACTGGAACGAATCATTAAGGACATGGAACAAGAGAAACAGCAACCAACCAAAACGTTCACAACCGAACACTCAAACCTACGTTCCAAACGCAAAGCTGAACAGAAGCATGGTGACATGGAATCAGAGATAGATGATTTCAAGACTGAGTGTGAGAAGGGAAACGAGGACAAGGCTACTTGTGACTCTTACAATGAGTGGTTATCTTGGAAAGAAGCTCACGAGAGTCAACTCAACAAAATCTCCAACAAACACTCCAACGTACGTTTCAAACGCGAAGCCGAGCAGGAACATGGTGACATGGAATCAGAGATCGATGATTTCAAGACAGAGTGTGAGAAGGGAAACGAGGACAAGGCTAATTGTGACTCTTACAATGAGTGGTTATCTTGGAAAGAAGCTCACGAGAGTCAACTCAACAAAATCTCCAACGAACACTCAACCGTCCGTTTCAAACGCGAAGCTGAACAGGAACATGGTAACATGGAATCAGAGATCGGTGATTTCAAGACAGAGTGTGAGAAGGGAAACGAGGACAAGGCTACTTGTGACTCTTACAATGATTGGTTATCCTGGAAAGAAGCTCACGAGAGTCAACTCAACAAAATCTCCAACGAACACTCAACCGTCCGTTTCAAACGCGAAGCTGAACAGGAACATGGTAACATGGAATCAGAGATCGATGATTTCAAGACAGAGTGTGAGAAGGGAAACGAGGACAAGGCTACTTGTGACTCTTACAATGAGTGGTTATCCTTGAAAGAAGCTCACGAAAGTCAACTCAACAAAATCTCCAACGAACACTCAAACGTCCGTTTCAAACGCGAAGCTGAACAGGAACATGGTAACTTGGAATCAGAGATCGATGATTTCAAGACAGAGTGTGAGAAGGGAAACGAAGACAAGGCTACTTGTGACTCTTACAATGAGTGGTTATCCTGGAAAGAAGCTCACGAGAGTCAACTCAACAAAATCTCCAACGAACACTCAACCGTCCGTTTCAAACGCGAAGCTGAACAGGAACATGGTAACTTGGAATCAGAGATTGATGATTTCAAGACAGAGTGTGAGAAGGGAAATGAGGACAAGGCTTCTTGTGATTCTTACAATGAGTGGTTATCCTGGAAAGAAGCTCACGAGAGTCAACTCAACAAAATCTCCACTGAAAACTCAAACTTACGTTCCAAACGTGAAGTTGTAAAGGAACCTGGAATGGCGAAAGTAGATTATGAATCCAGTCATGAGATCTCAGATTTCAAAAAGGCTTGCGAAGAAGGGACAGAAGACAAAGATACCTGTGATTCCTTCTACAATCTAATGAAAGAGAAAGAAGAGGAAAAGAAGGTACTTCGTCGCAAACGCGATGCAAAGAAATTGATAGAAACAGAAGAGAATGAAGAAGAATATAAATCACATCTTGAGATCTCAGATTTCGAAAAGGCTTGTAAAGAAGGGACAGAAGACAAAGAAACATGTGACTCGTTTCACGATCTAATGAAAGTGAAAGACGAAGAAATAAACGTGATACGTCGCAAACGTAATATAAAAAACACTGAGGAGAGTAGCATCTCGAACTTTAAAAAAGATTGTGACGATGGAAAAGAGGATCAGGAAACCTGTGATTCTTACTTCAAGTGGATAGAATGGAAAGAGAACCATGATTTATTTTTAAAAAGGAACAACGAGAATGAGTCTGATGATCATTTAAATAACAGAGTAAGCAAAGCAGCAGGAAAAGACAAACAGTTTTTCGATTCTCATGAAAATGATTATCGAATTGGAAATTCAGAAAAAAGTGATCAAGACGACAGTGCGTTGAGGAAATTAGATGCAAAGATCAGAGCTGACCTCGAGGAAGATGATGCTTATTTTGCAAAGATTTCAAAAGGACGCTCGTCTGAAAGTTATTCCTCTGCCGATAGATCAAGTTCATCGCAAAAGAATTCCAGTGGACTGAAACGTAGAACTACACCCATTCTTGATAGATTTGAAGCTGAGTTTGATGAGGCAAATGACGGAAATGGGCTCAACAACATGGGAGCAACAAATTACGTTGTTGAAACGATAAGTGGAGGCAACAAACCAGTTGTACTTCCAAGAAAGGATGCAGAAAGGGTTATGGTGGTCCCAAAGCCGACTCCTAAAAGACAACGGAGGACTGTCGCTGAAGTGCTTTATAGAGTCTTGTCACAGAAAAAAGCCTCTCAGAAACGAAGATCATTTTAAAGAAACGGACATTAGAACACTTAATTCAAAGACAGTAACGGGCATTTACACTTGGGGAATATTATAGTAGTTATTTGTTTCAATATGTAACACTGTTTGTTGAATGTATTTATTCCTTCAGTGTCATCTTCTCAAGATTATGACCTATGGAGTCAAGGACTCCCTGAGCATATTACAATGGTTCCGTCTAAGTCTCAATGTATCCTTCCTTGAAAGACCCATTCAATTCTTTGAATAGGTCATTGTTGTTCATGTCCATAATTCCACAACATGATCTCCAATTAGCTTTCTGCTTGGGAAAGTAGGGGTCTCTAAATGAAAGTATAGGCATGACAAGCCTCCTACTCATCTGTGAAACTGGGCGTGGTCAATGTGTCCAAGAAATCCTGTGCCCTCCCACCCAGAAACGCAATGATTGCTTAGCATACTCATGCACATCTGTATAAAATCCAATAATAACACGTGATTATAGTGCAATGTCAACTTGACAGAACAACTTTAATTTCGAGAAAGCTATTACCTCCCTGTGAATGTGAATACTGTAAGTCCTAAGATAAGCCCCACCTTCTAATGAGCCCCTCCCTCCTCTAATGAGCCCCCAACCAAAGAGAATTTTTGTGAAAGAAACCCTCATGGGCTGAGGTGCTGCCACAACTGCAATAATCAAGATAAAAACTCGCCATGAGAAGGAAAAAGAGGATAAAAGTAAATAAATGAACTATACCAGGGGAGTATTTTATTGCATCGTGTTGTTCTGGACCATCTTGGAATGACGTTATGTCTTCAGATGTATCTGAATCAATGACAAGCCACCTGCAAAAGAGGGACTGATAAAAATCCCTCAGTACTTATCTTCGACTTTCATTTCTCTACCCTACTTTAAAGCTAGCGGTTTTCGAAAGAAACGCAGCAGAAGGATTAACAAAATACGCTGGTAATTCTAAACCAATCTGTAACCTATCATGAATTTGCTCGTTCCTTCTAGGAGCATGCCCTAAAATTTTATTGGCAGTTATGTACGCTACCAAAAGATGTGATTTCGTTTGATCTGAGCTATTTGTATACTTTACTTTTTAAACAAAAACGTCCAAAAGTTATTATTTTTTCAAGAAAAGGTTCTTCATTCAAGAATTTGAGTCAATTTACGTATTTTCTGCTTATGTGTAAAGGAAATAACTGGTTTTTGAAAAAAAATTTCGAAAAAATTTGATGATTTTTACAAAAGCTGTAGCTTCATTTTTTTAGCAAACATTGACGCGTCAAAAAGGCTTCCTTTTTTCAAGAATGAAGTCAATGCCCATATGTAAGTGACGTAATTAATTCTTAGAAGAAAATTTTTTGAAAAAATCTATAGCCTTACCTTCTCTAGAAAAAATCTTCTTTTTTTTCTTCCGTTTTCAGCTGACGCCGACCCGGGACACAAACCCTTCCAGTCTGCCCGGCTCTGCGCTAGCCGCTTTGCCCCCATCCATATGGTGCCAAGTCTTTTTCAACTGGTGCTTGCCATGTCATTCGTTGCCGCTCAGCTCTTCCTTGACCTCTTCGTGGTCTCCATTCCCTTTTCTGCTTAGTAATTCTATAGCTGTTCATCCGGGCCACATGACCGAACCACCGGAGCCGCGTCTTTCTCACTTTCACCCTAAGCGCTTCTTGGTGCGATTCGTTTCGTACACGATGCTGCCATTTTACTCTCAGGGTTCGTCTTGAACATTTCTGGTCAAAAACATCTAGCTTCTTCTCTTGCCCTCTCAGCTTCTTTTCTTGCCCTCTCAGCTTATTTTCTTGCCCTCTCAGCTTCTTCTCTTGCCCTCTCCGCTTCTTTTCTTGCCGTACAAGAGCACGTGTAGAACACAGGCGTTATAAATTCTAGTCTCCAACGTTAACCTGATGCTTCGATTTCGCCACACTTTTGAGAAAGCAGATGATGCAAGAGCAGTTCTCCAATTCAGTACAACGTCCAAATTTCGAAATATTTTAAGCCTGATAATTTTTCCAATGACACAGCTTTATTTTTTTATTCAATAATTAGCTTTCTAAAACGTCCTTATTTTTTAAAAAACTATCTCATACCAAAACTAATTTCAATTTATTTTTATTCTGATCATATGTCAGCAAAATAACTGGCTTTTAGAATAAGAGTTTGAAAATATTTTATGATTTTTCTAAGGTTATAGACTTAATCTTTTAATCAAGAGTCGAGCCGCCTAGAAAACCCTTTTCTTTAAGAAAACGACATTCATGGCAAAATTACATTCAATTTGTGTTTATTCTTATCATATGTAAGCAAAAATTTTCGAAATTACTTTTTCAAAAAGTTGAGCCGTCCAAGTGTCTTTGATTTTTATTGAAAAGCTATTTTTATACCAGAACGAAATTCAATTTTTTTTGGTCAGATTCTAGACGAAAAAAGTGGCGAAAAAACTTACAGTCTTTTTTATCAATAATCGAGTCATCTAAAATGTTTAAAAAAGGTCATTATTTTCGGTCCAAGTATTTCTTATAGGTTGGTTAAATGTTTAGAAAAGGTTTAGATGTGTTGATAAAAGTTTAAAAAAAGGTTGAAACGTGAAAATTCCTTATAATTTAAAAAAAATACGAAAAAAGAAACTAGATATCTAGTAAAACTCTTTTGTATGTTTTTTTTGGTTTCTCACAACTATATTACTTACTTGCCTGTCACTATTCGCGCGAGAAAAATGCTGGTTTTTTCTTCTTGACCTTTTTGATATGATTGAGGTCATTGGAGGAGGCAAATGATTTCGAGAAAATACTTGTGACATTTTTGCTCCTTCTGAGTTATTTACATTAGTAAACCAAAAAACGTTTTGTTTAAAGACAAGATCCTTGAGTTGATGACACGTTTGCCATTTTGGGCGGCCAGTCCAACTTTTAAGATGCGTTAAAGATTATTTCTGTCATTCATGTAAAATATATATCATTGAAAATGCATATGCAATGCATATGGTGACTTAATCTCAAAGCATGCTTCATCTTATTAAATTGAAAGAAAAGATAAACAACTCAGAGAGTATTGTTTGAATGATATCAACTTTCTTCCTGACATCTAAATATTTTCTATCAAATATGAAATAACATTTTTAAGCTAAACTATTTCCTTCAAGAATTGAATAAAGAAATGTTCCTTGTTTTTAGAAGAATTACCATGTGATATTTTCATGTTTTTCGTGATATTTTCATATCCTTTACTGATGGAAAAACGGTTACGATACAATTAAGTATTCTCTGTGAAAATCCCGGAAAATATACACAGTACATCTCTAGGGTATACTAGGTATTAGCCTACTGAATAAACGCTATTATTTATCCTAAAACAAACAGTGACACTTTAAATATTTGCGTTTTAATGCATTCAAGCATCCAGGCAGATTTACTAGTAATTTCTTTCTTACTAAAAGTACTTATGATATTTGATTCAGTAGAGTTGTTTTCACTCTGGGAGGATTTATTATCATGCACGTACTTCAAAAGAAATGAACTAAAAGATACTCAAAGGGAATACGGAATGGAATATACAAAAACGACGAAAAAGTTCAACTTATTTGTAATTGTGTCTATTAATGTTATGAAATTGACCTTACGAGTATACGGCATTCAGCGGCATCCCACTTCAATGTCAGGACGACAAAACATGTTGTCATATAGAGACAGTGATCAATACGGGGACATGCCGTCTCTCCTTTCGAAAAAATGCCTGAGTGTAGTATACAATAGAATCTTACTAAAGTAATTATTAACAAAAGAAATTAAGCTAATTTCTAAGTACTAGAAAGTTAGTTCACTTGGTGGCAAAAAGATGGCTTACTCAAGATATCCTCCATTGCATCACTGCAGAATCCTTGCCTCCAACGGAAATCATTCTGTTGTCATCATACATGAATCTGACACAAGTGACGTGGGAACTATGACCAACGCAACGCTGACTGTCAGCCTGGGTGAATAAAGATGATGTTAATTTTACTGTCTTGTTGTTTATAAAGGACAAAACTAGCTGTCTTCCTAATTCAGGTATCATTAAAGCTGCTAGTTGGGTGCGTTAAAATATCTATCTAGGATGAATTAGAACGTATTCCAGGAGGAGGGTACCTATATATTTTTAGGATAGGGGTGCTATGGTTCCATTTGAGACATTTTGAGGCTGGAATTAAAAAAAAGTTTTGAAATCGGTCCATACAAAGTAAGGGATTCTATTTTGCTTGGTCGGAAAAGTATATTGCAGACTATGAATTTATGGGGCTGTATACATTATAGCTGAAACTTCACCATCAAAGGCGTCTACTTTAGAACGATATAAATTTACTGTAAACAATGTGGACCAAGGGATAATGATGCGTGATCATAATGAACAAAGTGTCATCCAAGGTAAAACAAGAAGAGCTCAAATTTCCAGCTCTACTGTGAGCTTCAGTAAGGGCTCAAACAATTCCTGTAATTGAAAAGGCAGTTCTACAGACCTGTGTCCAACAAGAAGGAACAGTAACTTTGAGCAAGAAAGGTTTTAATCGGGAGAGACTTAGCTGCAATTATGTTTTAAAATGTCAGAAAACTAAAAGAATGACCTCTAAAGTAGTACACTACTATACGGCATAGGCGCTTCCTTAAGGTTCCTTCCATCCCTTGAAAAATTACGAGAAAATATTGAGAAATTTCAAAAATTACATACAAAAGACATCTGTGTAAAGCAGGTTACCTTTGGTTTGGTCGATGGAAAATTGAAGAAATTCACTTGTCCGAAATCGTCACCCGTCACAACGTATTCCTGGTTGTTGGACCGACAGCAAGCGTTTATGTCCGTACCATCAGCGCCTTCCGGCCAGATCCCTTTAGTACAAACAAAATTCCTTGTTATATGATATCAATTAAAATCTCAATTTTTATAAAACACTAATTTTTAGACATCTGCCGCCACATATAGCATAAAATGTCACCAAAGCCTAGAACTACCTAACCAACTTAGAAATATTTAGCAACCAATGTATTGTAACCAATGACTTGTAGGTTTGAGGGCTTTTTTAAATCATCTAATCTCCTAAAATCAAAACACATTTCATTATTTTTATATTCTTAAACCTAAAATTTATATTCTTGGAGGCTCAACTGCAAAGAAGATTTTTTACGGAGAATTTTTACTGAGAATTCCATTCATTATCTTTATTGAGTTCCCCCTAGCTAAGCAACATGGCTACAAATGCATGCATAGTTTATCAGCAAAAAACCGTCTGAATAGTTATGAAAGCAGAGGAAGAGCCATGTTTTTCTTGCTGTCTTTGTTTATTGTGTTAACTGCATTCTAAAAAATAATGCTTGATGTGTCCAGGGCCTGTAACTGCTGAGAATAGAGAAATGGCTCGGATTCCCTACCCATTAATTTGATATGATCGACCATGTATTAAATTTCTATTGCTTTTGGCCACATCCATGGGGCACAACTAAGTTTAGTTCTGATGTGCACATTATGTTCTGATGTGCAACTCTAACGCATTGAAGATCATGCCTAAATTCGGAAGGGTTGATGTTGTTAGGTTTTCATTTTTTTATTCAATCGTTTCTGTATGGAATAGCCTGCCAGACAGTATTGTGATGCAGGCAAATTCGGATACCTTTTACAACCTATGTCGAAATCACCTCAGTAAATTTTAAAATTTTAATGTTGTAGTTGACTGGGCAGACATTTGTATGACCCAAAGGGTTGTTAAATGTAAATGTAATGATGATGATGATGATGATGTGCCCCCAACCAAAAACTGAAGAAGCAACCCTTTTAACCTAGAAAATACCAGAGGCACAATTATAGA